GGGGCTGTGGGGCTGGGGGCCCAGCTGCCACTTGATATGACAGCTGTGGATACTTTTGCAACTACAACATCAGCTAGTTGCCAACAACATGTTGTCACATTTAAAGATGCTACGCAAATTGCTGAAGCACACAAGACACACAGAAAAACCATTGGATATTCTGATGACAACTTTTGTCTCTGGCATTTGCTTATTTGCCAGCAAACTTGCGCCCTGTCAAATGTATCTTTCAGCTGCACCACTTCATTATCATCCATTTTACAGCATTCCGTAGTCTGTGGACATGTATTGTATCTATTTCCATACGTGAGCCAGAGTCCAGCTTGTGGCAATGACAGCCTCAAGTATCTGTATTCAGTCAGCATATGTGTGTATGTGTGTGTGTGTGTATGTGTGTGTGTGTGTATGTGTGTGTATGTCTGTTGGCATATTAAATTTCATTTTCAATATTCGGCAACGGCAATCGACTAAAAGTCAAGTCTTTGGCAATGCCTTTGTCTTTGCTGAGCTCGTTACGAATGGCACTCCAAGGACCATTAATCAAGTGCACTGTGCACTGAGAGCTACTTTCGAAAGCCTCTCACACTCCACTCACCCACTGGGGGACAGACTTTTAATCAACATCAGCTCTGTGAAAATTTGCAACATATTACAACGAATATGAATAGCTTTGAGCTTGAAAACATGCGAATATTAATTCGAAGCAAGTCGCTCTTTGGGAATGGTCTTCAGCTTAAGCATTTAATTGATCAACTCAGCTTGTTTTGCCTAATTGGCTAAGGTTTGCACCGCCTAGATTTATAATTGTCAAAGGCATTTGTTTTTGTTTTTGTGTTCTTGCACTTTATCAAAGTAAATTCCAGATCAATTTATTCATTTTGAATTAGAACTTCAATATGTTCCAGGGTAATTTATTTATATTCAATTAGAGCTTGTTTTTGTGAAAAATATGTAATGGGAAAATTGGATATATAATCTTTATTATATTATCTTGGTCAGGTGAATCTGCCCTTGTTAATCTGTCTGTCTGTGTGCTCATCGAATGAGTCTTATCAAATTTTTAAGTTTGAAATACATTTTTATCCACCAATCTCATTCCTGATGTATCATAAAAAAAATTGAAATACAGTTTTCAGTGCGGATATACGAAATGAATATCAAGTTTTATATATTTTGGAATTTCGACTTTAAATACCTACTAGCCTTACCTCAGATTCGTATTTCAAATAATAGATAGCATCTTGTGAATTTCGACCAAATAAAATATGCTTTAAATGATTTTATGAACACTTGTTTTTCTTTTTTCTATGCTATAATAATAGGAACTTAAAATGAGCATTTCGTTTTTTCTATGCAGTGCAATAAAGATATGATTTGATGTTTATATAAAAATGTATCTGTAATAATTATTTTTTATTTCTATCATATAAATTAATATTTATAATAAAAAATGACTTTTTCTTTAAATTAGTCAAAAAATAATTCTTATATTTTTGTTGTAATTTTTTAGTATAAAAATTATTATCGTTACGGTCTCTGCTTTTAGCTTCAAGTGCTACACTTAGGCAGTGCCATAAATTTTGTGAAGAGCTTCTTCTGAGAAATCAAAGACTGAGTCAGACCGAAAAAAAAAAATTAAATATATATGTACATATATCTTTTTTTCTCGCTGAGTTCATTCACCATTTCATTGGAAGCTGCAACCCACATATCTCATCAATTGATGCACTGCCCGTGATATTTTCACATGCAGCGCACAGCAACAAATCATTAAAAATGCATTTTCAATTTCGTCGCAAGTACCGCGCCGAGAAAGGACCAACAACAAAGAAAGAGAGAGGGAGACTGAGACAGCGAGAGGAAATGTGAGTGTAAAACAAAGGAAGTACTCGAAACGAACTCGCTTTGGTTCTCCACGACGTGTCGTCTTCTGTCTGCAAATAAAAAGTCGCAACAACTTTCCACCAATTCGGAGTCGGGCTGTCAACTGCATTGCTCACTGAACAGTTCCTTCACATTCATGCACAGCAGATGCAGTCACAACAGCGCTGAACTATGAACTTTTACACTCCTGCGCGCCCTTGCCACCGTCGACTGTCAAAGCGAAGCTGGCAAGCATTGCCTAGGGAATTAGATGACAGAGTACATATATAATATATACATATTCATAATATAATGTGTGCAATCCGAAGATAAGAAATGAGTATTTCAAGTCTGCCTAGTCGATCAGATTTTTAGCACTTCAGCTAGAGCTTCTTAGTCAATAATTTTAGCAGTTTGTCTCATTAACTTTTTTCGAGAGTGAAGTGATTTCATCAACTCAGTATTTTGAAAGCAATTAAAAATCTAGTATTTCTAAATTCCTTACCAGTTTTGCTTGCATGTGCAAATGATCAGCAAATAATTGAATGCTTTTAGTATTTCTATTAATTTTATTCAAAACAGATTTAGACAAATTGATGTCTTCAGTTAAGTCTTAACGCATTCAAGCTAAAATTACTCAACTTATTATTTGTAACTTATTAACAATATAGAGATACTCTAAATACACCAGTGTGACCAAAGATTATAAATATTACAAAACACAAATATATTTTAACAGCCGTTCAAACTATCGATAACAGTCAAACAGATTTGTCATTTGAACATCAATTTAAGGGCTGCACACTCTTCACTCTATTTAAAATAGCTAGAATTGGCTAAACATATAACAATACACTATGTTAAAAATTCTCACAAAAAATTAAAAATTAATTATATCTTTTTGCTTATTATAATTTTATATAAATTGATATGTATTTTTTTTTTTTTTTAATTTACTTGTATTTACTTTGGCATGTATTTAAATATTTCTCATTTATATGTTATTTATATATTTAATTAAAAAAATTTTGTTCTTTTTTGATGCTTTTTCTTTATATATACATATATATTTAGAAATCAAGAATCAAGAACTTTGAGAATACGATATATACATATTATGTGATATACATATATTATGTGACATCATAAAATGCTTTAATATACATATGTAGCTATCATTCGTACTTGTCACACCCTCTGTGTTTGCAAGTGGCCAAAGCTGGCGGTAAAATGGTTATACTGACAGCACTGATGATAAAATGTGCCTTTACATCATTTTCACTTTTCAAAAGTACCGATTCCGCGAAAAAGAGCTCGACACAATTGCCGGAATCACACGTACATACATACATAGATGCCTTGAGCCGAGTCCATGCATAATGAAATTGATATACATACATATGTATGTACATACATACATATATCATAATCAGAAACAACGCAGTATATTAAGCTATTTTATGTTCTATATTGTAAATTGTTTCAGCTTCACTTGGTCAGCCTTTATTTGTGAATTCAAACAGATCTTGGACAAGGCCAATGAAGCATTTTTGTTTTCAAGCTAATATTTGTTTGTTTTGTTTGCCCATTGAAATCGCAGAGTAGGCGAAGCTTGAGTGCTTACGTCTCATGGGCTCTGTATAAGACCAGCAGCTCATTTTGGCACTCGCTGAAAGATTCCCATGGGCTGGAAGATTGTCCCAATTATGCCTGGGGCCAGATTCTCAGCGCTTGTCCTTGTACTCAAAGTAAACATTCGCACGTTTTGCTTTAAATTTATTTTCGCTTTTCGTACGCTAAAGGCAGATCTTCAGGCTCGATCATATCCGCACCCTAAGCATGTGGGGATATGGCATACGGTCAAATAGACTTGGGTGGCCAGTCCCACTATTATTTTCATGAGCATGATTCACATCTTATTCACTCTTTTGATTAAAAATGTATTTCGATTGTATATCGATGCCTCTAGCCCAAAAATTTGATCAAAAAGTGAGTAAGTGCAAGATTGCAGGGTATCCATGGGTCGGAGACTCTCAATTCAAGCACTCTTGTTGATACCTTAACAATTCCTTTTCCCTCTTTCTTCCAGCGACGGCTGCATCTGCGCAGTTGAGACGCTTTGATTATGAGGGCGTCACTGCCGGCTGGGCAACTGAGCGGGAGAGCGGCAGGGTGGAAGATTGGGTCGGAGTCTTGTTATTTCATCAGCGTGCAATCAAATGAAGGAGACGGAGCAAAACTAAAGCAAAGTTTCTGCGAAACGAGCAATTGCAACAGGAAACTGGTTTAATTGGTTGAGAACGCTGCGAGCTCTCTGCCCCCCCCCATACCACTTCCTCTTTCCCACTCCCTCACACTGCGGGAAGCGCTGGCACTTGCCAAAGTCAACTGTCGCCTGTTGACGGTGTTTGGCATTGTCTGCCAGTCGCTAATACTGGCAATGACATTTGGGGCTTGGCACTCGCAAGCACTTCATTTGACTGGCAACGGCAACAGCACGCCTCATGCACCACATTCCACACTCCCCACTCCCCATTCTACTGTACGTTTGCGCCTGCGCATCCCGCATAAATCACACGAAAATCGCAGCTCATCGAACTGTGGCCAAGTTCAATTCAATTCAATTAGCAGCATATTTCACAAAGGCCCGAGCCAGCACAGCGCAAAGCCTGCAACAACAGATACAAATGCAGATACAGATACAGCTATAGATACAGATGCAATGCGCAGATAGCGGCAATTTATGAGCCGCAGCCACTTGCCAGCATGTGGCCCCCACATAGCCGTGCATCGGGCATGTTTTGACAGCAAATATGGCAAAAAAAAAATTAAAATAGAATACCATTACGAGTATGTAGTCGACTAGCAGATACCCAGCAGATAGCAACTTCCTCTCACAATAAGGATATATAGTTTATGCTACCCAGCTTTGTTCCATTACAGGGTATACCAAAGAGCGTAGTGTGGGCTGGGGGCATCCGCCGTTCACAGCCCATGCCATGCGATCCTCAGATGCCAATGCGATGAATGGTCAGGCTGAGGATGCAGATCGAGGTAGCTATTCCATGAGTCGTTCATTATTTATGATCTCGTGCCGAATATATCCGAACTACTTTTCAGTATAGATGTCAACAATACAAGTTTAAGAGTTATATATTTCGTATGTATGTATTTTAATTGCTAAGGCAGCAAATACAGATATGCAATAACAACATAAGCATTTAAATTTAACAATACAAGTTTAAGATATATATATTTCGTATATATTTCAATTGCTAAAGCAACAAATACAGATAAGCAATAAAAACATAAACAGTTAAATTTAACAAGAATCCATTATTTATAGCTGTAAACTTCAACATTGTTTTTAGAGCATTAAGCAAAGGAATATATGTATGTATGTATGTATATAATGAAATTATTTAGTTACTTCAGAATTGGTTGTGCTAGATTTTCATGCATCCCAAGTATTCACATTAAGTTCTTAAAACTCCAGGAAAATATCCATTAGCTGAACGGGATTCATTTGAACTATATTCTGCCATTCTTCTGTACCCTTAACATCTTTATAATTCCTTTTTATGTATTCGACTGTCGCCGATAGCAGCCCTTTTTCATTGTATTTATGGGCTAAATTGAACGTCATTGCCACAGTTTTAATGGATAAATGATCGAACAAGTAATTCAGGCACAGTGCCTTAAGTCTTTTAATGTCATACTTGTCCGCAGCTGCCAGTAGATCTTTGGCCTTATCGAAGTCCAAGTTCGGTGCAACTCCCGTGTAAATAAAACGCAACAGCTCCTCCACAACTTCACCGCAGAAATCATCAATGATTACACGATTGGCCTGACTCTCCCCGCTTAACATGTCCGCAAAAACCTTGCTGCGTGCTGTGAGCATTTAAACATTTAGTCAACAGATTTTATTGCAATTCCAGAGATGTTTCTCAACGATTCTTACCGGATAATATAATCTTGTGAGCAGATATCTCACACAAATCGGCAGTTATAATGGTCACATCGGAGTATTCAGTGGTATTAAATAAAGCGCCAATATGTTCCGATAATTGACTTTCGGGTACTTTCACCAACTGTAGGCTGGGTGCTTCGAGCATTGCAATCGTTATATAACATTCAATTATTAACTTTACCTCCGACTCGAGTGATAATTTTACTTTCACTGTATTTGGTATTAATGCCGCAACTAGCGGGTAACTACGGCCTGATATATAAATTTGTACATCGTAATATCCGCTATATTTTCCTTTTTTTATACAATGTACGGATAGTAAACCTTCTCTTGGAATATCTATGCCTGATGGCTGTAACTGTAACTGAAAACAATAGCCATAATTGGAATCACGAATCACCTTTGAGGTGAATCCCTTAAAATCTTTGCTGTATTCAAAGTAAAATATATTTGGAGCAGTCCACTTATGATATAATTTAATTTCTTTATATGAGGTCTCCATTTCGTAATTCGCCATTGAAGTTGTAAGAAATTGTTCACTTTAGGGAAGTCACAAATATGTATGTATGTATATGAATCTCGCTCGGTCGTCGACTTTGTTGATTGAGTTGCGGATTGCAATTTGCAAATGAACTTGACTTGATCTAGTGGTGTAAGAAATCATTGATTAATCGAGCATCGATGTTTTATTAGCGATGTTTATCGATGTTTTCGCTGATACCGATGCTGAGCGATGCATCGATCTTTTTCAAAACATCTGCGAATGCAGTTAACCCCATTTGAAAGCAACTGTTTTTTGTTTTTGGGAAGGTATGAAAAGTACCTATCCCAATATATTCAAAATTGCAATCAAATTTTCCGCTGATGGCATATTCTGTTGCCTCTAAAATAATATGTAATTCTGTTTAATTTTAGTGAAATGTAGAAGATATCTCTCCTATGTTTTTAAGTTAAGCCTTATGCAAAATACTGGAATGAAAGCGCATTATTATTTTTATTTTTGTTAAATAATGTTGAATTTAGGTTTTTTTTTTAATAATAATGACATCGACATTGATGTTTTATTCAAATTTACATCATTAATTTGATCTCATATCGATGGCGATCGCACCGAAGCTTTGGAAATTTCAGTAGCCAGTGCAATCGAAATAATTAATCGATAGTCAGTCTAACAAAATAGTCTAAACGGAAATTAATCAAAAACGTTTCTTAATAACACTCTTTCAATTAACTTGAATTGAAAACTGATGCGCTTGATGCACTTACATATATTTAAATAGCATGTGAAATTTGAGTCATTTAATAACATCGCATTTCGATACGTTATTGTAATTGCGCCACGAGCCATCGTATCGATAGGTTGAACTCATCGTCTCACGATATTCAGCAATCCACTATATTTCATTTTGTGGTATGTATGTACATATGTATGTATGTGATTTGAATTAGGGGAATTTGAGCTTTTCAGTGAATCGCCAACAAATCATCTTTTTGGCACCAGCATATACATACACATACGTACATATGTATATATGTATATGTATGCATGCACATACAATAACGTACATACATACGTAGTAGTTTCAAGAATACAAATGAAATACTTTACCAGATCGGATCACGATACACATTTGTGTGTGTGTATGTACATAGTAGTTTTTTGTGATTTATACACACATATATACATACATATACATGTATGTATATCTGCACATGGAGCAATGGACACACGTACATACATACATATGTACATATATACATGCATGTATAGTTTTATGCAGATATACATCTGTATGTATGTAAAGCGCAATTTGAATTTATTAGACCTACATACATATGTACATACACACCAGTGTTGCCAAATCAGCTTTTTTCCCGTCAAATGTGGCTTTTTTGAAAAGCCGATTCGGGAAAAATTCCAAAACAGTGGGCAGCGGGAATTCTGTATTTGTTAAAGAATAATTTGCTTTATTTACACTTTTTTATTTATTGAAGAAATTTTCGTATTTTGTATATATAATTCGAATGAAGAATGAAGTTTTCTTCATTGTAGTTAAATAAAAACCAAATAGTTCAGTAATTCAATTTTTAATGAACGAACCAAGCGGTAATAATATGGAACTAACTAGACTAGGATATGATTTATATTTAATTCAGAACAACTTATTGTGAACAACAATATCAAACTTTTTGATTCTATGTAAATGAAACGAAAAGATTAAAAAATGTATGCAACTCGTCTGATAGCGTGTAGTACAAGAATTCATGTGTTTACGGTTGCCGACAAATTTTCAAATAGTGAAAATTGTTGATTCCTTTTCATGCATATATATTTTTGGAGAACATTGATAGTATTGAACCCCAATATCAGAACATCCACCCAATTCAGTAGGAAACTATTCAAGACGCTACAAAGTTTTTAGTTGAGAAGCGTGTTCTAAGGGTTTGATAGGATATATGAAATTTAGCAACTTGGCCACTTTTGCATTGCTTTCTTTGTCAATGCCCAAGTGGGTAACATTTTTCGTCAGATCAATACTGTGATGCTTAACTCAATTTTAAGCATCAGGTAAAACATACACTCATGATCAAATTAATAGGTGTGAAATTTTTTTTTTTTTTTGAAATGGGAATAACGTCTATATTTTTTCATGTAACTAAAAAATTCAACTTATATTAAAAAATAGACACATCATAGAATAACAACAACAAAAGACCAGTTTAAAAAATAATACTTTTTAGCATAATTTTGGCATACTTCACAAAAAACTCCAAATTTCGCTGGCCAGATTAATAGGTGTGCCCAGCAAATTAAAAAAAAAAATTAAAAATTCTGAAATATTGTAGAATATTTAGAATATATTTAGATAAGTATGGTTAATACCCTGTATATCCGCATTTATTCGCAATGACTGTTGACTGCTGACTGCTGATTCTTTGGGGCATAGAGGATATTAACTTTCTACACCTTTCCACAGGAATGGTGCTCCATTCCTTCTGAGTATTTTCCAATAATTGGGTGTAATTGAAGCAGGTAGTCTTGGAAACTTGCCTTTTCAGGTGTCCCCAACGGTTCTCAATTGGATTGAGATCTGGAGGCTGACTTGCCACTCATAAACTTCAATCCTATTTTCATGAAACCAATCCTTAACTACTGGGGAGTCCTATTTAGGATCGTTATCCTGTTGGAATTTATATTTTAGATGTATGTTGTCGTGGGCATATGGCAGCATAACACTACTCAATAGTTCCTTTTACAGGAATCTGTCCATTATGAAAATGGTCGATGGTCCAATTCAAAACCATGCCATGAAAAACAGTCCCAAATCATGCCGCCTCTTCCGTGCTTGGTTAAGCACTTTTTTTTGTATATCTGGGATCCGATTCTTTGCCTTTAGGTCTTCGAACATTTATATTTGAGTCATTCTCAAAGAAATTTTTTTTTTGTTTCATCACTCCAGAGAATGTTCTTCCATTCATGCTCTCCCTCTAAACCACACCAGGCCTTGTGAGTTTGAGCAAAATTAAGCCTCATCCGAATATTTGATTTACGGAATAGAGGAACCCTGCGAGCAACTCTCCCAGGTGGATTCGAGCTTAATAGACGTCGACGAATTGTTCGTGCCGATACAACATTGCCCATTTCGATGGCAATCGCTCTCGAAGACTTAAAAGGGTCCCTTTTAGCCAAGGTGACTATCCGGGAATCCTCTCTTACGGTAGTTTTCCTCCGGACACCCGGCTTCTTTTTATCTTTTTTTTGGTTTTAGAGCATTTGTAACGAAGTTCTCTGATCGTCCCAATAGTGAGGCAATGCATTTATAAGTTTTACCCTCTTCACGAATCTTGAGAACGAGATTTCTCTCTTCAGCACTGCAGTGAACTCCACGACCCATCTAATTTTATTTAAATGTTGCAAATGAAAATTTTGATGCTTCAATCAAATTATATTCAATAAAAATAGTACCTTTGCTTACTTAAAAACTCTTTAATATTTTAATAATTTTTTGTGTAGTTAAACACACCTATTAATGTGTCCAGGTCAATTTTGAGGTAGAGAATGTATAACAGCCAAAACCTTTTAGCGAGTAAATTTTTTTTAGGGGGATTTGCCTATTTCCTTTTCAAATAGTGTGGCCATACCTAACAAAAAAAATTTCGTGCTGATAGATGTTGTCATACCGTAATTATTCTAAAATATGCTAGAATCTTTGGGTCACACCTATTAATTTGACCATGAGTGTATATATTATAAAACTTCAAAGATACGGCTTGCGGTGGTTGAAGAAATGATGCCATGATTATAAGTTGTTAAAAATATATTTAAATATCAGTCAAATCAAAGCAAAAAACATCAGCTTTTTTTTAGATTTTTTGCTCAACAAAAATTGGCAACACTGAACACACAAAGAGACTTCAGATTTATTATTTATACATACATATGTATGTACTTACATATGTATGTACCTTTATACGTATGTATGTACATACGTGCATGTGTTTTTGAATGTGTGCACAAAAGTAGTGCAGAATGATTGTAATATTACTTCTTTGCAGAATGCAGGGCATCCTCTAGTCGAGCAGTTCCGACCAAACCAGTCTTAATTGCATTTTTTTTTGTCAATCTAGCTTCAATTAGACCACAAAATATGTATGTACATACATATGTACATATGTACATATATAAAAATATTGACTCCACTTCTGATTCGGTTTTCAATGCGTTCGCCTGTACTCGAGTTGATTTACTTGAGTTTCTGTTTATTACCAGCTCAGCTTTTTATTGTTCCGACACGTTTCTGCTCGACTTTGATGCTGTCTGAGCACACTGCCACGCCCACCTGCTCGTCTTGGCGCAGGCAGTTTAATAAACGTTTAACAACCGCAGTGGCAGCTCCAGCTTCAGCTTCAGCTTCAGCTTCAACTCCGGCTGCAGCTCCAGCTCCCACTCCAACTCCAGCTGTAGCCTCAATCAAACGCATGAGCAGGAACAGGCTCGAGCCGGAATTGAAGCTGCGGAGACATGTTCGCAATCATGATGATCTCTAGCCGTGGTAAATTGCATGCACGCCTTTTTAACCCAAATATGATGTGCTGCCTCCCTCCCTCTCTCTCTCTCTCTCTTTCTCCCTCTGTCATATGCCCCGTTGACTGTGAGTGGGGCCGATAAGCAGGCTTCGCGTGCTTTTATTATTATGGGGCAACGAGCGAATGCGGCTCCATGGATTAATGAGTCGCGATCTGGCAGCGGCTGGCAAAACGTTTACGTGACTGAATTTTCAATTATTTTTTATTGCACTACTGCGGCCGCCTTTAATTGCAGGAAGTTGCATTTTGAATGTGCAATTTATTAAGAAATTATTTATTGTCGAATGAAATTGATTTCGAAAGTCGCGTGACGAGAAGTTTCTTCATATGCACTGTGTGTGTGGCAGTCAGGCAGGCAGTCAGTTAGCAGCCACGCGGCTGCAATCGACTGCCTGGCTGCACGTAATTAGGCAACATAGCTGCAACGATCTGCGAACGTGGCACATTTGTGGCCTTTCCACATGACTTCTAACACCTAATCGCTGCGCACGATCTGGGCATGCGGAGATGCTCTGCATTTGGCCAACAGACGCCTCGATTTCCTGCCACGCCCACTAGTGCTGGCAATTAATTTGATTTGATGGCTGCT